TTTCAAAAGTGGATGGGTTAACAATGCTGCCTCATGGGAGGTGAAAAACAGGAATATCTTCATAATCAAAGCAAAGATCCGTTTGCTTGTGTTTGCAGCTATAACGTTACACAAAGTAACATCGTGTGATGAAGTCTTCATCTGAATATGTACACCCTGCCTGCCGGCAAATGACAGCTTATCCTCCAATAAAATGATGATGATCAGACAAGAGCAGCGAAATGCATATAATCCTGTTAGCACTTTGCACACATTACTTTGTATACATACTATTGTAGACTTATTACTACAAGTAATAAGTAGACGCAGTAAAACAGTAACGTCTTGTCATTCAGTCTCCATCGGGATTCATCTTCTCATATCATATCAAATCATGCACAGATGAACGTGTCGTTCTCGCTTACTGACGAAAGCACATTTATATTAAGATTACATGATTGCATCCAATCGCACAACAACTATCTGGCATGTCGCTTACATCTCAAAACACCAACTTTTGTATATTAAAACTGGCGACGTACTGGCTAGATCCTTGATTAGTTTACTGGGTCTCGTTGCTAGAGACCAACGTTCTTGCTGACAGCCAGTACACGTGACGTCACGTGGAAAGTATGAATTAAGTGTAGCTTAAACTACACTCTATCTTAAAAAGATAGAGTACATTAATTTGTATGTGTATGTGTACAGAGACAGAGACTCAGTACTGAAAGAAGACAGAAACGCCCTGAAAGATGTTCAGGAGCATCAGCCTCACTTTACTGAAGAGCAGAAGAAAGAGTTAACTCAGGTTCACCCCTGGATTCAAACGGGCTGTCTACCAAAAGCCATCAACATTACAGTGAGTAGTTCTTAACAAAAATGACACAAAGTATGTACCAACATTTTGCTGCTTTCTAGTTCTGGCCAGATTCTGATGCAGTTCTTACTGCATGTATCTTTGACAAATTAGGTAATCATTCAGAATGCCTTACAACAAACTCGTTCAACATTTTAATTCAAGATGGTGGAGGAAAGAAATGTAAACTCTAAATATATAGTGTTCTGAAGTACTGAAAAATTGATAGCAATAGTTAAATGTAGATAAAAAAAAAGATTTTTACCAAACATTTGTGTGGTAGTGCATTTTTCTGCCTTTTAGACTGTTAGCTTAGCAACATGCTAACATCACTAACGTCTCTAATGTGCTTCACACTTTTCTTCACAGTCTTGCACAGGATGTGCAACTTCTCCAGATTTCTTGACTCCTCCATTCGATTTGGAATTTCATGAGATGGATCTCAGCATGATTTTTAAAGAAGAGGCCAAACAACAAGATAAACTTATCACTGCAGAAATAGCCTTTCCCTTGAGCCCCCCTTCATCTGATTATGAACAGATAGACAATCAGGCCAGCACGAGTACCGTAGGAGTGGGCCATGGAGGAGGTGGAAGTGACATAATCAGCGAAAGTGAAGAGGGACTACAGACTGCTGGACAGTGAATGGCTGTGCTGCTGCCTCATAGACTTTTAGGACCAACTTGAATTTGGATTAAGCTGAAAGTTATGAACTATTATCCTCAGTTGATGTCAGTTCAGTCAGTATATCAATCTGAACAATAGAGAGAAGGGACTTCCTTTAATTTTTACAGCTCAAAAGGAATATGTTTTGAGATGTTAAGCCGTTGCACATAGTGGATGTTAGAACATTGTTGCTCTATATTCTGCTTCTAGGTTCTTATAATTATTCATGAGCCTGCCTGGACTTATTCTTTGATAGACGCTATTTCAGAATTATTCATGACCCCATGCACCTTTTCCTATTACAGGCTTCAATCCATGAGTTATTGAGTTTATAGAATTATGAACAGTTGGACCAGGAATTTACTGATTTCACATAAGTTTGAAATAAGTCTGACATTCATAGCCCTTTTTACAGATACTGTGTGTCAATTCTAAAACCGTTCTGAATGATTCCCAGGAATTATGGCACCGAAACGCAAATTCTTTGGTTGAACAGAGGTATGATAGGCCAGAAACATCGTCGAACCAAGTTGTCAATGCATTGCAAGTCAATTGTCCCATTGTACGATATTTACCTTCAAATGTCCGTTTATATATTGCGGTTTAGAATTGCAATCTCAGACAATCAAAAATACAATGACACAAGAAATTAACTTTGCTTTGCTAAAAGCATTTGCGCTCAGTCCATCACAAATGAATTTTTTATTGGTAGTGGAAAAGATTTATTTATTTTTTCATATTCAAATATATTTGAAGGTGCTTTTGATACTATTAAGTCTAAAATGTATAAAATGTAAATAAATGGATTTTGAATAGAGATGTATTTATTTCTAAAAGTCTCGTGGTTAAGATTGACAATCCCTTTGTTTCACTAGATGGTCCATAGAAACACAAGAATCGTCTGTGTACTATTTTTAGCATCCAATGTCTTGTTCAGTTCCTCAACAAATGCAGGACTCTTATTTAAAATAATAATAATAATAAAACACAATTAGAATAAAAAAATTTAAAAAAGTCAGCTACTACCCTTGTTTTCTGTTTCCCTCAGATTTGTCTGCGAGGGATTTTCAAAAGCTTTTCTGTGAAAGCAGACAGGCCCAATCGGTTTACATGCAGTACAGTTCTGATAAAAGCTTCTGTAAAATGTGCAAGAATTGTAAATTGATTTTGTACATTTGCCAAGTCATTGATTCAATCTTTTTTACTCAAACATGCTTGAAAATTGTATTTTTCTGCTTTTAAACTAAATAAATACCTTGTGTTTTTTAGTAATCTGCTTTGACCATCTAATGTTTTTATTCTTTTTTTTTTTTACATGACTGAATTGATCTTTGTAGCCACTAGAGGGCGCATTGTAACATATCTGGTAACATCCACAATGATCTCTTCATGCTTTGCTTTGAATGATCTTCACCCAAATCAAATATTTCCAAGATTTTGACTCTTTCATTTTCCAAAGGCAAACTGTTTTCACAGGCCAATTGAAATATGTGTCTAAGGTGACATAAGGAGAAAGCATTCCACTTTCCCTGCCTACTTTTTAAAGCTTAAATCTGTAGTTTTCTCCAGCTCAAGAATGCAGTTCAGACTGTCTCATGGCTCTCATCTCCATATCTACAGATTAGCAAAACTGACAGGTTTCTGTAAGCTCTCCTTGTTGATCTCTATGAATATTTACACAGAACTCTCTGAAAAACCCGAGAGACAGAGAAGCAATGAGCCGTTTGTTGTTGACGTTGTACGATAGAAGGTTTCACACTCAAACCATAATGAGAGAGGAGACGACTGTAGTAGCATGATACATTCCAACAAGCTGTTTGTGTATAATGCTGGATGGCAGTTCTGTTTCATTCATATCCAGTCTTTTTAACTGATTTTTTAAAATGAATTACATTATATTAATATAATTTGATCACCCTCATGTCATTCCAAACTTGTTTTCTTTCTTCCATTAAACACGCTAGGAGATATTCTGAAGAATGTTCATACTGTTCTTTTCCTACAATGAAATAGCCAAAAAGCACCCTGATGCCGGGGACACATAACGAATAGCTGAAACCATAGACTGGAAAAAATAGGCTGAAACATTATAAGACTGAACTTAATATACACTTATAGACTGTTTCCAATGACGGGAACAGATTTCAAACACTGACTGAATGCAACTGTCTCTGACTCAGCACGTTTGGGCATTATCAGTCGTATCAAATTACATTTTAATAACCGGCTTTACAGTCGTTAAGCGTGTTCCCGGCTTATGTTATGTGCCATATTTGACATCAATAACAAAAATTGCTCTTAAATTTTGTAACTGAATATAAGTTAATCTTTGATGCACTTATGCAATTTGAAAGTGGTTGCAACATTTTTTTTTTCTGTCAATAATGACATACTGACATTCATGTCTATTCCTCACACAAAGCAATTGTACACTGTAAAACATGATAATAATTTAATAGTAAAAATGCAAAACCTGTTAATTGGTTAACAGTAAGTCACTGTAAAAAATATTGTTGGTTTAAATTAAATCAAAACCTTAAAATTTTAAGTTGATTGAAATGGAAAAAGTGAGTTAATACAATGAAGGAGATTGATTTAATCATCAGAACCTCAAAATAATAAGTTATCTGAACTAAATAAATTATTTAAGTTGATTTGACAAAAGAAAAAATGTTGTGATAACAAATCTTGAAAATATTTTACTGTGAAAACTATAATAAATCTAACGGGACATTTCATAGGATCATTTGTTATATAATTTTTAGTGAAAAAACATAAATTGTAAGTACCGGTAGTTGCTATTGTATTTTTTTACGGTGAGGTTCTGGCAACCACAGCTGCCCTTTTTTAACCATACATTTCTCTTTTTTTATGTTGAAGCACTTAAAAGAAAGCTCCAGAATATAGCACATACTTTTTATTGTGATTTGTTGCCCATTTTTGAGGTCAGCTGCATCAGTCTCTATTCACTTTTATGTGGAAAAGAGCAGCATGAACATTCTTTAAAACATCTAATTTTGTCTTTCACAGAAGAGAGTAAGTAACAGGTTTGGACATTAAAAGTATATGATTACATTCTTTTAATTATTTAACAAGTCTTGATTTAGTCTTGTTTAACAAGTCTGAGCATAATAAGAGCATAAAGAGCCATTTTTTTAAATCCATGTTCTACTGCCAAATGTAATTGTGAAATATCTGAAACCCCCTCTCCCACCAGACCTCACAGTCTCAAATGATTCCTCACACAGCTTCTAATTCTGTCCTGTCCCCTTTGCCAACAATACATTTTGATGGATTGTTTTTGCTTACCCTTGACCTTCCTTCAGGTCTTCGAGCCATTATTGGCCAAACACTGTCAGCCAGATCTCACACTCCTCCACCCCCCAGCAAAGTCCCACGTCACCACATTCTTGTGCTGTTGCCTGCATCACAACTCAAATCACATCCCAGAGAGAACAAACACAACCAGATGCCAAGCACAACACAGAGTTAGCAGCATCTACAACAGATCCACATGATACAGTTTGAATGTGTTTGCATATTTTTGGATTTGTACTTTGCTAACAATGCTTAGCTTTAGATGTTTTTTATTGTGTTATATTAAATGGTGGTGACTGGATATCTTTATGCTGTCCTCCTTTGAGAACTGATGATGTGCTGTGATCTTTTATGAGATTTATATTTCTTCTGAAGGTTTTATGTGGATGTTCCCCTGTACAGGCCCCTGTAATGTCGATCGAAAGGCAGAGCTGCAACAGAACACCATAAGGGGTGATTTCTTCAAACAACGTGACTCATTCTCAGACACAGACAGATAACATGAATGTGTTCACAACACTGAGGTCACTTATACTAATTTCAACCAGAAGTGCCTTTTAATCTTACAGGAATGTTCTGGGTTTAAGTAAAGATTACTGAATAGCATCTGTGTATATCAGTCATTCATAAGTTTCTAACACCGTTTCAAGATTCAAAGAACATTGATTTCTATTTTGTTATTGTTAACTAACTATTAACAACATATTTTTTTGTTAACTGGATCATTGGCTGAATTAGATCAAATAAAATGTAAAACTTAAATGAAAAACTTTAGAGAAATGTTGTCATGGAAAACTAATTGAAATAAGTTAAAGTACTAAAATGACTAAAACAGAAATACAAATAAATTAAAGATACACTGCAAAATCACTAAAACTATAATTAAAATGAAAACTGAAAATATAAATTGTAAATAAATAAAGTAACCCTGCATGAAAAATCAAAATTGACAGTATTCATTTTCTTTCATGTTCCTGGTGTTATTGTGTATTTCATAGCAAAGGTTGTTTCAACATTTGAAATAAGAAAATCACAGTTGTGAAAAATGAAATTGCGATAATGCAACAAAAAGGGGAAATTTGGGGGCAAGTCACATAAAGTGGCAATTACGAAAATTAATTTTTTTCTGGCTCTAAACTGGAAGGCTACTCAACAAACAGACCTAACAACCGACTAACAATATTTGAAATTTCTTAGTAGTTGAGATAATCAAATATGCTAATACCCTGAGGAGGTGTAATTGGAGTACAATTGTTAAGGTTTGTAAACACAACCTCTTGATCTCTACAGAAGAGCCTCTGGCACTTCCTGATAGCACAGGTCACACTCTTAAAACCTGACAACCAGAGCAGCATGCTTCTCTCCAAAGACTAAAACGACTTTATACTCAGATCTGGCAGAATGACTTTCATTTTCAATGGCTTCCTTACAGAGTTTGCATTGCATTTCTTTTCTATCCTGATTTTGTTGATCTAGCATTCTTCCCTTTGGCCAAAGTGAATGAGGCTGATTCTGGCTCTAACTCTAACTCTGGCTCTGAACATCTGGCTCTAATTAAAACCTCCCCCCCCCCCCCCCAATATAGCGTCACTTTCCCACTCCCTCTACTCTTTCCTCAGCATCCCTCCCTCCATACCTCCTCCTCTCTGTATCATGTGTCCTGTGGCCGCGTTTGCATGTGTGGATCTCAGTGCTGAGAAATATGGAGCATTTGGCTGCTGTGTGGAATCTGGGGATTCTTCTGTATCTGAGTTTTAGAGGGGCCTTGTGTCAGACCACCAACAATACCAGGTGAGCGGTATAGGGCTTTGGGTGAGAACGAACTGTGTGCGTGTCAAGACAGCTCTTTGCTGCTATAACTCTTTTTACAAACTTTTCTGCTGCAGGAGCTGTTTAAATGTTCTAGCTTTTCTCAGTGTTTATGTCTGGTAGTAAGTGTCATTTTTATACTCTTTAAATGCATGGAGTGTGTGTATGAATTCTCGGTAATGATGAATGTATTGATTACAGAGTGATGAAGGGTTGCAGATGGAAGTATACTTTGAGTTAGTGTTTTTTTTAAGGTGAATCAGGTCGCTTTACCCTTTCACCCAGCTTTCCTTTGCAGAGAGCAATTGTTTTTTTCTGAAGAAAACAGATGGATAATTTACTAAATAATGACTACACTGAGTTATGACATCCTTATATGGTCTGGAATTCTGGAAAACTTTTTAGGCTGAAAAATTTAGGCTGTTGGAGTTACAGAAATAGTTCAGCCAAGAATTACATTTCTAGTCAATTCATATGACTTTCTGTCTTCATTGGATAAATTTTGTAGAATGTTTATGTTGCTCTTCCATACAATGAAATTAAATAGAAAAAGGACAAAAAGTGCAAAAAACACACATGCGCTTCACAATCACAACATAAAACAACATCTAATTTTGGTCCAATCAAATAAAAGTGTGTTTCTTTTAAACTAAAATTAAGAAATTATTTCAGTCTATTTTTTAAAAAAAAAGTTAAAAAAGTTAAAGTTTACCACGGTTACACTTACATTACTCTTAAAAGTATACTTTTATACACTAAAAAGTGGGCTAATTTAGTCTCGCAAAGTAGTATCGCAATAGTACACTTAAAAACTTTACTTAGGTATACTTACATTTTTGTAAGGAGTGTGATTAAATAATTTTAATCAAATGGAACAATTTTTTCCTTGCTTTAGTATGGAAACCTTTTTTTAAACTCGAACAGAAGAAGTCTACACTAAATGCTAAACAAACAAAAAGTATTTTAATTTATATATCCTAGTTGCTCAATGCACTAATGAATATTTTGCTAATAAAACTGTATAGATGCATCCAATCCAGTATTTAAATGCCAAGTCCTATAATATGTAAAAAGACTGAAAAAGGACAAAAAGTACCCAAAAGACACTGGTGCTTCACAATCATGACAATTTATTTTGTGCTCGTTCATAAGGCGGCAGGATTAAATTTGTGTGATTTTAATCAAATCCATTTATTTTTAAGAAAAATAATCCATCTTATTGGTTGTCTCATTTATATTAGCCGTTTTTCTTTTCTTGCTAATTTTTATCAACAGTAAATATTTGAAAAGGTCACTGAAACGACAACATGCCATAAATGTCCACATTGTTGAGTGAAGAGGATCTGTCTCAGACGGACGGGGTCTGTGGGAGTAACTGCATAATAACAGTTTTTGGTCTGCTCGAGTGTTCTGGCTCTACATTACAAAAGAGCTGTGTTTTATTTCGCAGTGTCATAGAGTTTAAGTCTATAAACGTAACTAGACGTCTCAACATTCAAAATGGATTTTAAGTTGTCAGTGATCTTAGAAATACTGTGATGTTGTAAACACTAAATAAAAGTGTCTGCCTTTCTGAAACAGCTTTGAAAATGTTGCCAGCCAATAAATATTTAAACTGTTCTTTGGAAAAAAGATTGTTGGCAACACTACTGACTGGAGAAAATATCTATTTAATGTAATTATCATGATGTCATTTATATCACTTGAGCATTTTTCTGGCACAAAGAAGTTTTTAAATGAATAATTGGGGTGACATTAAACATAAACAAATTAATTTACATTAAATGCTAGACAAAAAAAGCAAATACATTTTAATTTAAATAACTGAAAATGCACTAAGTTATATATTGCTCTTAAAAATGCAGAAATACTGTACATAAACAATTATTATTATTATTAAAAGCCTCCTTTTAAAACCTGTCTTCATTAGTTTGATGGCTAATTGCATCAAAGTCAGATTTACTATTTTTATTATTAGACAATTGTAAGCACTTTTTACATTTATTTTGTAAATGTATCTTATATCATAGTTTAACTATGCTTCTCATGATAAATAATTAAACCTATAAACATTGACATTTTATTTAGCCTATGTAGTGAATAATAATAATATCATAAAACTGGTATCTTAATAGCTTTTGGTTAGCATAATATTTTCATAAAATTTACAGTTTGCCATAACTCAAGTTTTTGAGTTGTTGTACTGTGGGTTCATCTATGTGCATATGTTTGTACTTTTTGAGATATATTTTGCAATCTATGCCTTGGTCAAGCTTTTGACTTGCCTCCATGATATAAACACTGTGCAATTGTGCAATATAAACACATTCACATCAGCATTTTATTATGAAATCCCTCTTTTTCACTTTTCCCCACTCTCTCAGGCCTGTGTTTAACTGTGGCGGTAATCTGTCTGGAGACTCAGGCTTTGTGGGCAGTGAAGGATTCCCATCATTCTACAAACCCAACAGCAAATGTACCTGGTACATCACAGTGAGTTCACTTTGAGTTCACACTCGAGATTCTTCGTCACCCTGGGGCTGTATATCACAGAGTAAATACCTTTAAGTATCTCTGACCCTTTGTCCTAGGTTCCCGAAGGCAATGTGGTCATGCTCTCCTTCAGGATTTTTGACCTGGAGGCTGACCCTCTCTGCCGCTACGACTATGTGGATGTGTATAACGGACACTCTAACATGGTGCAGAAGCTCGGGCGTTTCTGTGGAACGTTCCGGCCCGGGGCTCTTATCTCTACATCCAACACCATGATGGTAGAGATGGTATCAGATGCAGGAACAGGAGGGAGAGGGTTCCTGGGTTACTTCAATGGAGGAAAGCCCCATGTGGATGGTGAAATTAAACATATTAAATATTAAACATTAAACATCAATTGTGTTGCGATCAGTGTTGGGGTAATGGATTACAAGAAATTCACATTACGTAGTCAGATTAAAAGTAAACGCATTAAAAAGTAACGCATTATTATACATTTACATTCATATTTCATAGATGCGCTGCCAGCAGACAAAATGTGTAAAAGAAACAAAACACATTACTTTCAATAAAAGTTGTAATGTATGACATACACTTCAGGAAATATTGTAAGTGGTCAGAATATAATAATATTATGAATGTGTTTGAAGATGAAAAATTGAAGATGAAGTGTTATAAGGTTATGCGTTAATGCAGCCTATATATATACGTTTAAATTTTTTGTTTAAATCGAGCCTCAACAGGTGAGAAAAAGATAATGTAATACGTGTGATAAGTAATGTAATGCATTTACTTCCCATAAAAAGTAACTAAGTAACGTAATTCGCTACTTTTAAGGGAGTAACGCAATATTGTAATGCATTAAAACACTGCTCATGATTGATTGCTGTTCGTTCAGGTTTTCATTTTCAGGCAAATAACTTGATGCTTGAAAAGTGTTGCTTTGACTTGAGGTTTTGCATATTAGAAGGTGAATGTTTGCAGCCTCAATGGTCTTTTCTTTTCTCTTTCTTTATGTCAGAGCATCAGTTTTGTGGCGGGAAGCTCACAAAGTCTCAGGGCACAATCAAAACTCCCAACTGGCCTGAGAAAAATTATCCACCGGGCATCAGCTGTTCCTGGCTTATAACAGTGGAGCCGGAAATGGTCAGGGAAAAAAAACAGAAACCTTGAGTGATCGTTTTTAGTTAATATTTCAATGCTGCATCCTGTTTATTAAAGGGATACTCCACCCAAAAATGAAAATTCTGTCATCATTTACTCACCCTCAAGTTGTTGCAAACCTGTATGAGTTTCTTTCCTCTGCTGAATACAAAGGGAGATATTTTGAAGATGTTGTTTGGCACCATTGACTTCAATAGCAGAAGAAAAATACTATGGAAGTCAATGGTGCCAAAGTTCCAATCGTTCTTCAAAATATCTTCCTTTGTGTTCAGCAAAGGAAAGAAACTCAAACAGGTTTGCAACAACTTGAGGGTGAGTAAACGATGACAGAATTTTCATTTTTCGGTGGAGTATCGCTTTAAATGATAAAAAATAGGTCTGTTAAAATATATTGACTTCTATCTAATGGGACCCTATTGTAAAGTGTTGTGGTTTTGTGTTTGAGGTGATTGAGGTGAAGTTCGGTAAGTTTGATTTGGAATCTGACACGTACTGCCGCTTCGATTATGTGACGTTCTTTAACGGAGGAGAGAAAGACGACTCGAGGCGCATCGGAAAATTCTGCGGAGACACTTCACCTGAGTCAGTTTCTCATTCTTTTTCACTGTCATTTTATTATTTCTGTCATTTCTATGAAAAAAAATACTACCACACACATTCATTCATCCCTTTTTTGTGTCCCACCTAGGAACATTGTTACCAATAGCAATGTGTTATTGGTGCAGTTCGTATCTGACCTTAGCGTCACTTCAGATGGATTCATGGCGTCATACAACAGCATCCCACGCAGCCTTCGTACTCCGACTGCAGGTGGCGATGTTGTGACAGGACCTAGAGTGTCCTCCACACCCACAAAACCCCGTCAAACTCCAGTCAAACAGGAGAAACCTGTTGTGTTGACAACAGAAGCAACAACTACAACTACTACCACCACAAAAGCTCCAGAGCAGCTAAAGCCTCGACCTAAACCTGTTAGACCCAATGAACCTGTGAGACCAGTCCGTAAACCAGAGCCAGATAGATCCAGACCATGTAAGCCGGAAAAGATAACAGTAACAAATCATGATGGTTACAGTTGATCATAACTTGTTAGACAATGTTGAATGCTTTTTTTCAGCCACAAACACAAACCCACTGTGCGCAAAGACATGTAAAAGAGATGGAACCATCAAGACCAGCTTCTGTGCTAGTGAATTTGGTAAGACATTTCATACTGCAACCATTAAAAAAAAAACATAAAGCACATAGAGGGAACTTTTACACTACCATTTAAAAGTTTGGGGTTGATAATGTTTAAAAAAAAAAAAAACGTTTCTTTATATAGAAGTCTCAAATGCTGCATTTATTTGATTACAAATAAAGGAAAAATAGTAATATTGTGAAATATGATTTCATTTTTAAATAATTTTCTATTTAAATATATTTTAAAATAGATATGTTATTCCTGTGATGGCAAAGCTGAATTTTCAGCATCATTTCCTCCAGTATTCAGGTGTCACATAACCCTACAGAAATCATTCTAATATGCTGATTTGCTGATCAAGAAACATTTCTATTTAATTATAATAAGGTAAATGTTGAACACATTTGAAAACTGTGATCATCAGAAAGACAGAACTGATCAACAATTTTAAAAGTCTTTACTGTCACATTTGATTAATTTAATGAAAAAAATATTAATTTCTTTAAAAAAAAAACAAATCTGAATGGCATAGGGATTCAGATGGTATAGACATGGCAATCGTATAGACATACTGTATGTCTTAAAGGGACAGTTCATAAAAAACAAACTCACTCTTTTTTTAATTCCTCATTTTGATCTATAATATAATATATAGGGTTTGTAAACGGCTGAACTATCTATCATTCTATAGGAGTAACCTTTTTATTTCTCTCTATTTCTCAGTGATCACCGGTAAGCTGACAACATTGACTTCTGGACCTAGAGGAAGTATGCAAGCCACAGTGTCCTTAATTAAGGCCTATAAGACTGGTAGTCTTACAATCACCCAAGCTGGAGAAACTATGTCTGTCAAACTTGTGATGCCCTGTAAGAATTGTCCCTTGCTGCGCAGAGGTATATGGCCACATATGCACAGATAACACACTGCTAATATGAATTCTTTGGTCTTTATTGCTCAATAGTCATTCATTACTTACAAATCATTGACAAAAAAAACCTGTCTCGTCTTCACTAGGTCAAAACTACATCCTGATGGGTCAGGTGGACGAGGAAGGCCGTGGTGTTCTCAATCCCGGTAGTTTCACTGCCCTGTACAAAACTCAACACCAAAAGATGTTGGCCAGCATCAACAACCAGCCATGCTGATCGCTCAGACCCATGTTAGCACAAGCCTTCGAAGCAAAGACACTATGTAATGCAATGCATAAGGACAGTGATTAGACAATGGCCCAAAAATAGTCTGGATATTAAGAGGGATTTTTTTGTCATTGTAACATAATGCTCAGGAAGTTACAACGATTTCTGGACTGTTTTCATTAAACTATGGTGCAATTCAACTTCAGCTTAGAAGTGAATTTTAAAAAGCAATGATATTTTTCGATTTCGACAATTCAATATATACACAGAGATGTCACAAATGATATTTCTAATTTATGATGTCTTCTAATACAGGATTTATATAACACATTAGCGCATTGAGACTGTGTTGTTTTATCGGGATGGGCTTTTTCCTTTCACTGAAAGCTGCTTTTGGTCCTGGCACTGACTTAAACTATGAGCACATACTAATCTGATGATGTGGTAAAAATAACACTTATCTCTTTCTATTCATCCCCCTTCTCTGTTTCTATGTTAAGAATAGCTTACTACCATACATTATCATAGTCATTTTGCTCATTTATTTTGTGCATAGAACACACAATTACCTACTACATTAGCCAAATGTGCTTCAGTGTTGGTACTGTGACTTAAGACGATCAACATAGGCTTTGCTTTTTTGGAGATGACGAGAACTCTCGGATTTGTAAGCGATGTTTGATGCTGTTATTATTACTCAGCAGGAGAGTATAGGCTATTTTATAACAGATTATTTGTCATTAGTATAGCTCTCCAACGAGTTCATTAAAGGTCATATTCATCCCCACAGTCAGTCATGCAGAGCCGAAGCAGAACCAAAACAAAATGCATGCAGGCTTTGTGGGCAGTGAAGGATTCCCATCATTCTACAAACCCAACAGCAAATCTATCTGGTTAAATAATGTAGCCTAAAGTGCAAAAAGCAGTGCCCCGGTATTAAATAGGTTTTCTCTCTCAAACAAAAATCATGAGTTTATAGCGTCATCTAGTGTCTGAAATTTGGACTCAGAAAATCTGGAAAGAGAGCAATATATAACTGCAACTCTACATAAAAAAAACATGTCAGCTTCATATATGCATCATCCAGGTTATAGGCTATTATAGGCCTATATCATCACAGACATCAGACGCTTCCATCAACGTCACTTAGGCCTATAAGCGGATAATGACTTGCAAAGTCACAATAAAGCTAATTCTTGTCCTATGTCTGACGACCAGGGAATTTATATCCTGTCTGCCCTCTCTGCGTCCTCCCTGACGACAAAGGGTCACTCTGCCATCTCTTATCGGAACTCTGGGTAATGGTTTTGTGTTTACACTCTGAAATTAAATGTTGGATGTTGCATGACAGTAAATCTACCCAGCCAGATAAGTTTAAAGTTTATCCCAGGATTTAGGATTATAAAGAGAACATTTTAGAAGTGCCAAAGCATCCAAGGTATATTTAGTCTTCTTGAGTCAATACATTGCAGATTAAAGGAGAGGATGAAATCAGCAAAGAATATAAGTCCATATTGTGTTTTCATAAATGATAGGATGCAATAAAATAAAATAAACAATTAAAGTTCAAATTATTATATTATAATTTAAACACACACAGACTATAATATGTAACCTGTTGTTGTCTGAGGGCTTTTATTTTGAAGCATTGACCTGACAGGTTAAGAAATGTCTTACTGTAAGTTAAAAGTCAATGCGACTGATTTAGTCCTTTGTATAGCAAAATACCCTCTGACTTGAAAATTAAATGGGTGAAGAGAATGTCAAAGTCATGTTTTAAAGGTGCAATATTTCTGAGGATCTATTGACAGAAATGCAATATAAGATCCATAACTATGGCGTTCAGTGGTGTATAAAGACCTTACTTAATTAACCGTTTTGTTTTTATTACCATGATATATTTGTATCTACATAACCGTGGCCACCCCCTTCTATGAACACACACAGCGATTCAGAGCGCGTTTTGTTCATACCTCGAAAGAGAAGCCACAGAAAGCTAGAAGCTAACGTTAGCCATACACCTTCTTGCCGCGTGCACCTTTGCACTCATGTGGACGCGTCGAGTATAAACAAGGCTTTATGCTTTAACCACCACCACCACAGCCACAGCCCAACAGCATAATAACAGCTCATATTAGCCAGCTAAACTTTTACTTACCTGTTAGAAAAAAATATGTAACGTTAGTTGGATAGTTTCCTGCCGTTCTTCTCCCTCGGTGTATGTTTGCTAAGTGGGGAAAAATTGCATTCGTGAGACAATCAGCTGATTACTATTATTACATTATAAAAAAAAAAAAACCTTGATCCTCACCTGACTATATGGCTTTGTAAACTTTATCCATGATGTGGTTTATACTGTGGTACAGTGTTGTAGTCGAGACCACCTCACTCGAGTCCGAGTCGACACCGAGACCAGAGCGAGTCGAGTCGGAGTCAAGACCGAGTCCATAGAGAGTCGAGTCCGAGACCAGAGACGGTTTTTTTTTTTTTACTGAATTTACTTAGAGTTTAAAAAATATGATCAGTTTAGGGTAAAAAGGCCACATAGTAGGTGGTGTTAAAAGTAATTTTATTACAATTTGTCATGCGCAGTTGCGCACTAGAAAATCACCAATCACTGGGCGTGTCAATCAATTTAAAGAAATATTTTATTAACATACATTAATAATCATGAAAAATATTTTTAATTGAACTCGAGTGGACTCGGGAATAATTCCGAGTCCTAAAAAAAAATGTTCGAGACAAGATGTCCATGACAAGACCAAGACCATTAAAATATGTACTCGAGTACTACAACACTGCTGTGGTACAGAAACTTGGTTTACTCTGTATATTCTCTGCTGTCTCGGACGACTAGCAACCGTAGCTTCTTCGAAGGGAGGGGTGAGCAGTGGGCTGAGCCATCAGTGCAACTCGCAACCGAACCGCTAGATGCCGCTAAAATCTACACACTGCCCCGTTGAATGTAAATTTTTAAACAGTTATTTTAAATGTTTGTTTGCACAATATTATTTTTTTTTATGTTTTGAGTTTGTTTGGTCTGGCTAAACTGCATAGTGAAAGTTACACAATGTAACTTTGTGTTAAATTAACTTTAAATAATGAGTCAATCCATCATCTTATCATGGTTCTCTATGCTAAGCCTGTTGGCTCATTTTTCTGTCGGGATGGTTTTGGCAGGAAATTACGTTCAAAAACTTTCACTCATCCGAAGGCCTACGTCTCCTCATAATTGTAAAAACTGAAAACTTGTTCCCTCCTGTTACTTTGACGCGTGTATTGTGTGGGAGTGGGATATATAGGTTGTCACAACAAGCGGGAGAAAGGTTTATAAGCGAGCACACTAAATCTCAAACCTCCAGAGTCTTCTGGCAAAAAGAGGTCAACAGAGCTCCTAATGAAATGAGAATTAACATCCAGTTTATTTAACTTGCTTGGGGCCAAAAGTTACATATACATTTTTAATAATAATTATTATTATTATTATTTTTAGAATATTTATATCTATTAAGTTATATTATTATCTAATATATTTTTAGAGGCTATTTTTTAAGGTTTATACATCTAACATAACTCTCATAGTGGTTGGATTAAGATGCAAAGTAAACATTTTGCAGATTATTTAATTTGGTAACATTGTCATATTGGAATATCAAATTTTCTTCTTTTCTCAAACATTGATATTTATTCTTAAAAAAAATTGCTACCTTCAAGTTAAAACTTGAAGAGAACGTAAAGAGAATAAAGCATTTTTGTAACATTAAGACATTATTTTTTATGACAATTAAGCACATATTCATACCCGACACAGAAACTGCATTTGAATGAAAATGTCAACAACAAGAACAAAATCAACAATGTATATATTCACTATAAACTATTTTATTCAAGACTCAATCTCCTTTAACAAAATCAGAGAACAATAAAACTAAATATTATAATAATAATTACTAAACATATTTTATATTAGAATTCAGTGATAAGTACAAAATGTTATCCTTTTCCTGAACGCAATCATGAACCTCTGAAAAACCTGTTTAAAAAAACAACAGGAAATCATACATTCAGGACCAGATATCAGGACAAAATGCACATACATTGTATTCATTTACAACATGCAGCTCATTCCTTTTTTTCACTTCCACATGGCCTGCATCACTCTGTCTCTCCTGAAATATTTCATTTCATTTCAACACAGTAAGTAGCCTACAAGACAGGTGAATGCCAGGTCTGGCAAGAGGGTGGAGGAGCCAGAGGAAACACTGTGACATCTTTGCTAAAAGATTCAGTTGAATTACACACAATGAAGCGGTCTGATGCTCCTCTACAGAGTTCTGGAGTTCTACAGGTACAAGGCAAGGGATTCTGGGAAAGTAGCCCAGAGGTCAGCAGGTGGCATCGATAATATTTCCATCCATCTGGTGGCGATAAACTACTCGTGCTTTGTGAGAAAAATAGACGGGATGTGTGGCACTTTCCTCTCCGTCGTAACCCCAGGAGACTGTCGGAGAGAAGCCAGGTTGCACCTCAACAGATGGCACTGTGAATGCAGAGAGAGAGAAAATTAAAATTGAGCATTAAAAGATGGTTTGACTTATATCTGCATTAAGTTTGGCCAACAATGCAACTTGCCAGGTGGAGGAGGGCACAGCCTGCCTTTACCCCGGTCTTTACAGCGCTTGTACCAGGGAAAACACTGCAAGACTTTTTTACCCATGGTTTACCCAATCTAGAGATCTGGAAAGAGAACATAATGTATAAGATCTACTGACTGAAGAACATGGAGTTTCAATGCCATTGTTTGTTTCTTCAAGCTTATCTCGCTTCTCCGAATGGAACATTAGCCGAGAGGTGAAAACAGGAGATTGCTCATAATGGCCCAAAGAAACAAAGAACTCATTCATTCTGAGAGGATTAATTCTTAGTCGTGTCTGAGACTTGCACTGTATATCATTTGAGCGGGGCACAGAGTTGTGTTCCCTGGCCCACTTTGAAAGGCTGGAACAACCGACCAAGAACAACCAGCTCGGACTCCACAATTAGCCACAATATCAGTGCAACACATAAATCTTAGCTACAGGAAGAGGACCGCACCGCTATATTATGACAGAACACTTCTGTTACGTAAACAATGAGCAACTCCACCCGTGTATTTAGCAGAATGGGACTATGATTTATTTTGTTTTCTGTAAATCATTAAAATGTTCTAGATGTGACAAATGTATTGTATCATAAGTATAATAAATTGTGATGCGCATACAGTATATGCTGTCTACATAGGCCTAATATATATGAATTATATGAAACTTGAAAAATATGAAATATTTATTGAGCGTGCATGGAACGACATGGACATTTTCCACCGCTTTCCAAGGCTTTAAATATCTAATCCTTAAAGCAGAAACAACAATCTGAGCTCAGAAGTGACTTTACAATCAATTGTTTTTCTAAAAAGACACTGTCCAACACTGACACCAGCAGGTAAAATTCCAGCGCTGCGTCTCTCTTGCCTCCACTGAGCCCATTGACTTTGAACTTTCAATTGGGGGGTAGTTGAGAATGAATGAATGTCACGTGAGAAGAGGCAATGCCTCCATCATGCTGTGATTGGATATGGGGTATGATTGAATATAATTGATTTGTGCCTCGATTTGGCCTGAATAAACAAAATGATGGTGCATGGGAAAACTAATCAAAAAGTTAGTAAACAACCACTGCTTTAGGCTATGTCAAAATCAAAATTGAAATGTCCTGAAAACTTGATGGCTGTGGCCTTTTTTTTAGTGCGCAGTTAGCTTGGAGAAATTAAAGACACATCTTTGTGACAGACTGTGTTTACCGCATGACTGATGATCTTAAAATGATTTGTTTTATTAAAAAACAGATGAATATCCATTCATAAATAAATATGTTTTTAAATTGTTACTGCCTTATTTTAATGTGAAAATCTTTTTCAATGTGAAAATTTTAATAAATAGAACATTAATTACAAATAAAATAGCATTTGGTGTCTTTTTTATGTAATGTAAAATTTGACAACAGTAAGTTTAACTGTGTCATGAATTTACATTTGTTTGATAAAATAAAATGAAAACACTGAAACTTTGCATAGATAGATACATGTAGCCTACATAGAGAACATCACTGACATTCCAGTGGTTAATGATCCCTTAAGCACAGCCTAGAGATGCCCAAGAAAGATGCTTTGTTGTTCTGTGAAAGGTAGCCTATCTTACATAAAACTCCACCGAGGACATGCAGGATAATCCCTCATTTAAGAAAATCAATCGTCGCAGACAAACACACATCACAGGTCAAATGAGTGCAAATCCAGATAAACATAAGCCCATCATTGAGAGAAACACATCATTTATCACATACAAATTAGTAAAACATATAATAAATAATAATAATAAACTCTTAAAAATCCAGTTTTCTAGGCTATAGCCTATAATTAAAATTTCGGAAATAACATGATAAATGAAAATGTTCACGTTAAAATAGCATAACCGTATTTTAGGTAAAATAAGCCTATTCTTATGCCAAGCACTTCAACATTTCAGCATAGACCTACTGCATATAAGTTAAAATGTTTTTGTTTTTCTTTCTCAAAACACTTCGCCTAGTCACACATTTCCAATTAAAGACACCAAACGTACCTGTAGAGAAACAAAGTGATGCGCGTTTCATCCAGTGATCTGGCTGGTCTGAAACTCTGGCTCCATGATATTGTGCTTGTCCTGGTCCCTGCTGAAATCGTGTTAGGACAACGAGCAGCGAGCATTCCCGACGGATAATGTCTGATGATGCTGTACCTGACTCTTCTCTGCCCTTCTGTTCTGTTACCTCGGTTGCGTATTAAAGCTTTGATTGAGCGTGCGCGGAACGACATGGGAAATTTCCACCGGCCAAGGCTTTAAATAACTAATCCTGAAAGCAACAACAATCTGAGCTCAGAACTGACTGAGTACATTTCTTTTCTCAGGAAGCTGCCACAACAAACATTCTTTATAGCCTAAAGTGCATACAATAAACACATAAACCACTTTAATGACATTAAACCAGCTGTTAGGAATTTTTTTTTTTTGCCCGTTGTGTCTGACAAGATAGGCTAGCCTATCACGGAAATTGTAAGAACTTTATTTTTAGGGAGTTATATTATTAGTACAAAGTACAATCGCTATTAATCGCGGCTCGCGCCTTTTAGCCAATCAGAAAATTTGGAGACGGCACCATGTTTTTTCTTTCCAGAAAATATAAAAAACATAATTATTTTTGTAATTTTGTTTGGTAACACAGACATCATTTACAGCTGCTTTACCTATTAAATATGTGCCTTCAAGTAGCAAATGCTAGAATGAACAGATTACAGAAATCATGTTCATGTTAAAAATCATGAAATCATGTTACCAGTCAGGTAAAATATGTAAAAGGGTAAAATTTTGGTTTTGATCTGTAAGAATGGGGCTTTTTAAATGCTGATGATCATTGATTCAAGTAACTTTTTTGACATTTGGGTATAAAGTGTTTTAATTCTACAATATAGGCTATGGTGTAAAAACATCTTAGCTGCCCTCTTCAGGTTGAACGGTGGCTACTGCAGTTGAATTTTCCTATTGGATGTTTGCGGTTCTTCATGACGTATGCAGGTTTCAGCTCTCCACGCCCTTGGTACGAGCTACAGCTAACTTACCACGCCAAGACATGCTCGAATATCCAGCAGAAATCCACCACCACTAGAATTAAAAACATTATTACAAGCTTACCGTTTTGAATCGAGCTAAGACAAGCAGATAGTTTTGAACACTGGCTGGTTACTTGCTCAAAAAAATATTTTGGATCATTTTTAACCCAAAACAGTTACGGACTGCAGCTTTAATAATTCAGAACTGGGGTTTTAGGCTGCAGGATCCAGTAAAATAGAAAGGGCTGAATCAATACACTTTCACTAAATCAATACACAACGCTGGTTGTATATTTACATACTTATCAAGTGGTGTTAATTGTTTTGCGTTTTATTATTTGATGTGTATTGATGTGAGACAGTAAACGCTGTTGGATGCGAGACACATCTTTGGAAGAGAATCCAACAATAAAGTGAAAATTAATTGATTGAACTGAATTCATATATTCGTCGTTGGATTGTTTTATTAATTTTATTAGTAAGAGGTGTTTGCACAGTAATAAACAACATTTTTTACAAAGATTTCATAGTTTCTTATTCATGTGAAATTCACTAAAATAGGCCTACAAAAATGCAAAAACATGTTACAAAGAAACAACATTAAACATTTGTAAAACAACATAGTCCCACCTCTTTTCACCATTGTATAGCCAGTTAAAAAAAAAAAAAAAAAAAAAAAAAAAAAAAAGACTGACAATGTAATGTAAAAGAAAAAAAAAAAAGACACACAATGTAATATAAATATATATATAAAAATATATATATATATATATATAATTTTGACAAATCTGTTGAGAACATGGCAATGCTTGTATCGTCATCTGTTCTGTTTTGGGATTATTTGGGCTCTGTGTGTGACCTATTGCAATGGCTTTTCACATTAAATTCACCAGGCTCTTCTTTAGGATTTTCAGTCTGCTCAAACCCACACGCTTCCCTTTCCCTCGCTCTCTCCTGTCCCCTGCTGGCCACAGCAGACCCCCAGGCCTCGATGACCTGATGCAGGCAGGTTCTTGTAGACGGCCCGGCTGTAGGGAATGAAGCACAGGCCCAGCTGGAGGTGGCGGGCCATCCTGCAATAAGCGGCCAGAGCCAGAACGAGGAGCGGAGCCAGCAGCAGGAACCCCACCACCAGCAAAGCCACACAACCTCCATCGTCCAAGAGATCTGAACAGTAGACGGAAGTACCGTGGCGCTGAACCTTTGGAACAAAACAGGCAGAGTAAGTTAGCAAGAAAGAGAGGTAGGGCAAAGTACTGTACAAATTGTGTCTGTAATATATTGTCTGATCAGATAAGAGTTTAATTGACCTGCTAAAATTAATTAAAAAAACATCCATATGGTGAGGCTGTGGGAGTTGACTGAGACAGCTCAGTTGGAGACAGCTAACTTATCACTGATTCAGTCAAATGATAAGAGAGGATTATGTGTGAGAGTTTACTACCCAGATGTTTTGTGTGTTAGTTGCACTGAAATGTGGGAAGTTTAGTCATCAGTGCTTGGATGACGTTCGAGTAATCTAAGATGTTTTAATGTCCTTCGAGGAAAGAGAGTTGTGATTTGGCAACCCATTTGGGGTGGAGCTGCAGTGTGTGAGGACAAGTACAGAAAAATAGATTTAAATAAAATTATACACACGAACAGTGCCTTTCAAAAGTTCGGAGTAAGATTATTTTTCAAAGGAATGAACAATTCATCAAGGATCAAAATACAGTAAAGACATTTATAATGTAACAAAATATTTTTAAAATAAACTGTTCTTTTGAACTTTTCAGTTTATCATTCTGAAATATGAAAGTAAAAATGCATCACAGTTTCCATAAGATAATATTAAGCAGCACAACTATTTCAACACTGAAATTACTCTTTCTTGAGCAGCAATGATTTCTGAAAGATCATGTGACACTGAAGACTGGAGTAATGATGCTGAGAATTCAGCTTTATCATTATTTTGAAAATATTAAAATTTAAAACACATATTTTAAAATATAACAGTATTTCACGATATGACTGTTCTACTTTATTTTTGACCAAATAAAAACATGGTCTTGGTGAGCAGAAGAGACTTCTTTCTAAAACATAAAATAATCTTAACCCAAACTTTTGAACTGTGTAGTTTCTTTGCTCAAATCTTACTCTTTTTTTAATTTGTACTAACATGCCAACATGCTTTGTTGAAGTTGAATCACATTCAGTTAGACTAGGAATGTACATTACAAAAAGCAAATAGGATGCATTTTGATTGGATGACTTCACTTTGAAATTAATTTTTGTATATGTTTTAGCTTACCTCAAAGGCATCCAAGATGTAGGTGTCTTTGTTTCCACAGTATTTTCAATTTTGATATTTTTAGGTCAAACCGTTCTTGTCTGTCAGTCATATAATGGAGGTCTATGGGGTCCACCTCAAAGAGCATGCATAGAGAAGTCCAAATTAAACATGATTTAATTAATTTGGACTTCATGCACAGAGAGGTCCAAATTAAACATGTGAGAAAACGAACATACCGATTCATATCGTTTTTACGTCTTATAACCACAGCCACAAAGCACATGCGGCCTCAGATCAGTTGGACTTGGCTGTGGTTACAAGAGGTAAAAACGATATAAATATTGTACATTTTCTCACACAAACCGCTCGTTTCGTGTCTTAGGCCATCAATGTGTACTTACATTTACGAGTCATTAAATCATGTTTAATCTGGACTTCTCTGTGCATGCTGAGGTGGTGACCATAGACCTCCATTATACAAAATTGGTTTGACCTTAAAATATTAAAATTGAAAATACAGCGGAAACAAAGACACCAACATCTTGGAAGCCCTTTAGGTAAGCTAAAACATATAAAAAATTAATTTCAAAGTGAACTATCCCTTTAAGATAAAATATGTAACCAACATAAATTACCGTAGAATGGCAGAGGAAGCCAAAAACGACCATGATGAGAGTTGGTAAGAGGATGAGGCCGAAGATAAATGCAGCCAAAGCTACGTTGAGCGCGGCGATGACCAGATTCTGTGCTGTAACCAGAACAGAACAGGCCCAACAGTCCAAAGAGCCCCTCAGCTCCAGAGGAGAGTCGATCACTGCACTGCCTTCTGAGTACGGAGGAGGAACCACCACACCTGAGCTGGACAGGTTTGCTGGAGTACTGAAGGATATGGAACCGGTGTGATGGAGACGCGGGTGAGGAGATTCGGGCTCCCCCCGATCTGTGGGGGGCTGCAGAGAGGCGGGTTTCTCCAAGGAACCATTACGGGAAAGACTCATCTTGCCGTTCATCATTCTGTCAGGTATGATAGTCCAGTTTTTGTCTAGATAGATTAAATACATGTATATATTAAGGGCTATTGGTTGATAATGATAAAGTAATGGCTAAAATGGCCACAAACAATGACTATTAAGAATATCTATATCAAATGATATTTTTGTAATATCTTGGCCTGGATTCACAGACAGGGTTTAGATTAAGCCAGGATTAGGCCTAGTTCAATTAGGGCATTTAAATAGATTTTATAAATCATGGGACTAAGCCTTGTCTGTAAAACCAGGGTATAATGTTTATGTCCTGTTTCTAAACTATTGAACATTGTTGCTCTATTTTATAAAAAGAAGTGAATATTGGTTATCAAAAAATAAACCTGGTGATTTTGTTGGTGGAAACCGTTTAAAAAGTGTGGATTGTATTTCTCAAAAATGTTCTGGTGAAATGTAAAATAAATGGTGATAACTAAGACTAACTGCACAGAAGATCAGGAAATTAAGCCGCTGACCCCACCCTGATATCCAGGATACCACAAAATACAAAACAATAACTTTGGAATGGGCTCATCAGGAAACCCTGAATGCTGACTATAGAGCAAAAAAAGAGCCAAAAGAGCAACATCCTAAAAAAAAAAAAAAAAAAAAAAACGTCATAAAGATCCCTTAACAGCTTGTTACAGGTTCACAAAGACCACTTAAGCAAGTGAATCTCAGGAAAACAAAAATGTTCCCTTGATTTATGCAGTTTAGTCCTTTTGATCAAAATATGAACTAATATATTAACTAGTCAGACGCTTAATTAGTTCCTAATGTGGTAATCATTAATGAATAGCTTAGGTAATCATTAGTTACACATTAATTCAGTATTATTAGTTAAGCATGAATTAATGCTTATTAGTGCACACGTATTGTAAAGTGTTACCAAAATTTGCAATGAGTAGTATAGCATTGATGATGACAGAAGTTAGAGACAGATGTTGTTTATTTGGAGTGGGCCCAGTTTTTAGTGAATACTAGTATGATATCACTCTGCCATTAATAGCTCAGATGTTATCGAGACCTTGATTTAAAAACCTTTCCCGAAGAATCACCATTACATCACTTGTGCTTTTATTAAGTGACAATATTACAGAAAGTCTCTACATTTATATTTCTGCAAACGGTATTAATCCAAGAGATGGTGGGGAGTTATTTTAATATTTTATTTGATTGTTTATTGATTTTTTTGTTTGTTTTAATAGCAACATGTTTTATTATATTTCATTTTTTAGAAGTGATTTTAGCGCAAGATTTTGTAAATCTGCCAAGATTAAATCACCACCACGACTTTTCTTACATTCTGATTCAGGGTTCCGAATATCAGGAAATTCCACAAAATATAAATAAAAGGGGATTTTGACAGGACATAGACTGTCTTTAGGGAATTAAAGTCAATAGATATGCCAGGAAACTGAGCTAATGAATTGCAGTGTTTATCATTGGTGTATTGGAAACATTTTTTAGATTGAGACTATATTTTTATAGTTTTTTCACCCCACTTTGTATAATAGCAACTGTTAAATGAGTATAACATTTAAATATTTAACATGGCTCCAAGATACCAGGTCTTAATGCATAATACTGAAAGACCCATGTGTTCTATTTATCCAAAGCCTGAATGATAAAAAAAAATTCACATTTGCATATTTAAATATGCAAACAGAAATAAACATTTAAATCATATATATATATATATATATATATATATATATATATATATTAAAATATGTTCATAAGAATATCATGAAACAGTGCTTTGCATAAGTTCAAAAACAATACAAAGCCCAAAATCTAAAATCTGCATACATAAATTTTTTTTAAATCATATACATTTAAAAAATATGGTTAAAAATCTAATTCAAGTTCAAAAAGTCCAAAATCTTATATACTTACATTAGTGTAATAGAGTAGGTTGTCCGTTCCCTCAAAAACACCTTTCCTAAAACTTTTCTCTTTACTTACAATTTTCTTTCCTCAAAGAAACAGACAATTCCGTCAAATACTGGCTGAGATGATTATATAGGTCTTTATACGTTATATTTAAATAGTTTTCATGTCTGCCTGTAATATCTCCACTGGCTCTGTGTGAAACTGACCTCTGTGGAACGGTCACTCCTATTTCAGCCTTTTCTCTTCCTCCTTTCCTGCACTGCTCTTTCCTTCCTTTGACAAAGATGTCCTGCCTTGGTAATTCAGTTATATCTCTCCACTCCCACTTCTCTTTTTGGCCTCACCATGCTCTGGCTGGGGCATTTTGGGGTGATGGTTAGGGGGGCGTAGTCTTATCCAGGAGTAGACTGTTTTTTTTTTTTTTTTTGCCCAATGAGAAGATATATGACCTGGACTTATGTTACACACTCCACAAAAGAGTGATTGTATAGGATTTACTTTAAAACAAATTTCTCTCAGAAATTGTTAGCTCTTTTTGATTTGAAGTAGAAAAAATCAAGTATATAGTATTTTCTTGCAAAATGTTCTCCAATAATCTTTGTTTTATTTAAACCTTCAAAGTCTGTTTTTTACAGCGCATACCATGTCAGTCTGTGCTTTTATCTGATGCAATTGCTTTTTTAAAACTGTGAAATATGAAAGAGATGGAGGAAACTCCAGTGGGACAGAAAGAGATTAAGAAAGCTATTTCCCCTGATGAGTTAAAGTATAAAATAAATATGAAATAAAAGTTAGTAAAAGCTTACACTTATGTCCATACCACAGTTGGCCCTTTGAATGATGTTTTCCACTTCACTTTGAGTTCAGCTGCAGCTCCGGCGAGGGGGAGTTCATGTCTGTTCAACATCTCTCAGGACGTGTCAGAGCTGTCAGGACACAGGGCTCCGGGAGGATGTTTTCTGGAGATTTTAACAGAGGACATGTAGATTGGCTTTGAGTGAGATATTGGATTTTTATTTCCATAGGTCCCAAATCGAATTTAATGCCGATCAAATTTGTTTAGAGTACAAAAATAACAAAAAAATTGTACATATTGTAAATGAAAAAAAATGTTTCAATGTTATAATCAGGAAGTATTCTGTTATCACAATAATTATATTACTAATATAATATCAAATAAAACTAAAGTAAGAAAATAGATACGAAATATAGTATATACGATAATACTTAAAGGTAAATACTTACACTATGGCCCTCCAGTGGTTAAAAACAACATGCATTTTGTGGAAGAACATTGTTTGGGTTGTGCTTTGGTTCTGCGTGACTGTGCGGATGGTTATTTTACTCCTCATAAAACACTGCTTAAGAAATATAACCAGTTTGAAAAGGATCTCAAGCTGACTAGCTTAAAACATATCCTGTAGTTATATACTCATTAATAAACATCGATAAAATAAATTCCAGCACAGTGCTACCACCATCATAATGAAATGACCCTTCACAATAATATTTTACAATCAACTCTGTTAGAGATCTACTTATGGCAATCTGTTCATTAAAATCGTACTCACTGCCATCTCCACTTTTACAACATTCCTCAGTTCTCACCATCTCCGAAAAGCCAAGCCAATGTTGATTCTTGTTTTATTACAAACTGTTTCATTCTTTTTTTGCGGCTGATCTCATTGCAGTTTCCCTTTCAGACACACAATCTATGGGAGGAGAGTATTTAAAAGAATCATGCAAGGTGATTTACTAAGCTTTGTGCTAGTCAATTTACTGGTATTTGCGCCATTATTTACCACCCAAAAAGCATGTCTTAAACCAGATGGTGGGTCATAATGGAAAAACTCACGCTAATTCCCCCTCTTCAGTAAATTTGGCAGTCAGCGTACTCCATATCAAGCTCGTTGTGAAAAAAAAACTAACCTACGCCGGAGAAACTCTTCTCTTTTTACGGATATGACGAGACACGCACCCGTTTGTACGCAATTTCCTGTGAAAAACAATCTCTGCTAGGTCTAAAATATAAACACTTATAAAATGCTTTCCATAGTGAATCAGGGTAAGATAAAAACAAGTTTTGGAAGAAGGATTGATTTATTCACTAATTATATAAATGTCATTATGTTGTTAGTAAAATTGCATTCAGTTTAGCAGAAGAATAAAATATAATATTAATCTATTACATTGTTAGTTGCATTATTGTTCGCATTCAGCATTGTTTTGTTCGCAGCTGTTTGCCTTTATCAGAACAGCAAAAGGTCACGAGGCATGACCCACCAGCTGTGATAGAGAGAACTGGAGAAGATATTGAGTTGATAGGGGTGAAAACAGGATGACTTTATCTGTGAGTAAATAAACTATTTATTTACATTTGTTTATTCACAGCAGTGGATTATCAGGGGAAAGAGATAAAATGGGTGCTGGTGAAATATACGAGTTAAGTGTGGAGAGACGATGGAAAACGAGATATATCCTGCGAGTCATAAAAGAGGAAAACCTGTCTTCCTGTCCTTGGAGCCAGGATTTCCGCAGTAAAGGCCGCAGAGAGCGCTGAGGTGTCGCAGAAACATTACTCCTGTCCCATGACCTCTCCAGGCCTCCACTTCCACTCCCCAGACAGACGCAGACAGGAGACTGTGAATCTGTAACCTTCCTCTGATACACTTCCACACACAATCCAGAAATAACCAACACGTAAACAGATGGGAATTTATCAGAATGTTTATTTTTTTTTATAGTAATCATTATATCAGGTATAACACACAAAAATCACAATATGTTTTAGACAAGTCTGGCTCAGATCCTTAATTTTTTTTTTATTTTTATACAGTAAAACAAACAAAAATGGCAACGAACCTGAAAACCAACTCTGAGAGGTATCGATGGAACGCAAATCTGAAAAACTCTCAACAATCTGAAATTCTTCATTAATGATACGAATCAGAAAGCTCATTATAATCATAACAGCTAGGATGACTGGAATCATACACGTGTCACAATATGCTGTACCTCATGTAAAGCAAACATATTTAATGTGTTAAATATACAGTACAAAGACATTCAGTTCATAAAAGTGTACTGACTCTGTTCTAAGCACCAACTTGTGAGATTAAATTCATGTTTTCAAACCTACAGATAATTTATACAGACAGAGAGACCCGGGAGGGGAAGGGGGATCAGCACCATTTTGAATCAGACGTCCCCCCGTAAGCCTCACCACATCAGCACAACAGAAAGATTTACAAAATATGTATGAAGCATCACAAACAATCAATAAATACAAAAGGAAAAGTCAAGTAAATAAATAAAAAAAACAGAGTAACTCAATTATGAGAAAATCAAATAAAAGGATAAAATCAGTCGGATTGAGAAATGCATCAAAAAAGCCACAAGTTTGCAGGAATGATTTTTTTTTTTTTCAAGTTGTACAAGAAAAGATTCACTTAACACACATAAGGTTTTCCAGACAAATGCAATCAAATACGCTTTAGATTAAACCCGTATTTTGTTTTGGAAAAACTTATTTTAATGCTTTAAGAAAATGTCATTATTTACTATAATCAAATACCATGAAATCACATTTTGTCTAAATGCATATCACAAGGCCCAAATGGTGTTAATCTAGACTGTTAAAAAAGTTTTTTTTTTTTCTGAAAACCTTTGACAACTTAAAAAAAATAGCACCCAGTAAAATATCCAAATACCATTTACAAAGGTCAGACTTGTAGTAAATATGACACGACCGAAACAACAGAAAAATAAAATAAAATGTAATGCCACTGCAATGGTCATCAGCTCCAAAAGAAATGAATTCCATGCTGTTATATACGTTGTATCAAAGCACCACTCGGATAAACCAGACATAGAATAACTGGACTGGTGAAATCGTCTTCCATTTGCATAAAAAAATTAAACTACATCAGTACCTGAATTAATGCACATGTTCGGCAAGTTGACAATTTTTTTTTCATATAAAAGGAATCACAGCAGTTATCCATTTTGGATGGGTGACCTGATAACCAAGTTACACGTTATTGTTAGAGTCCAATGATGAAGCACCACCCTGGTCATTCTATAATCAGGAACATGAGAACTATCAGATGTCCCGTCAGTAGCTGGCTGAGGGGAAGACGACTGAGCTGGAGAGACATCTGCTGATAGTATTGTAAACAATGTGAAGTAAACAGCGATTTGATTGGCTGCTCTGCAAGTCTGCAGTACTGGTAAAAAAAAAAAAAAAAAAAAAAAAAATGAACGAAATGTTTGTGCCGCTGATTTGGGGCAGGAAGGTGGGAGATTTGGTTATGGCTGTGTAGTTTCAGACATCAAGTTCACCTACAGCACGGAACTGGAGCCTGGGAAGGGAAAATTTGTGAATGTTTGAGGAAGTAATTTTAATTTACTGGTGTAAAATGTATATTGTATAGTGGTTGGTGACAATGCTGATATCTAGAGAGCAGTCATTGATGGATTATTTAGAAAATTCTAAAGCATTCCTGGAGAAAACCGCCTGGGACTATTTGTAAATAACGTTTGATTTTTTATTGTTCTTTACACATTTTATTTAACAATTACACATGTCTGTCAAGCAAAGGCTTTGACAAATATATTTTTTGTTCAAAAACTGTTCACTGTTGTTGTGTGATCTGTGATTTTCAGAAATAAATGACAAAAATTGAATTTCCGTTTTTGAAATTCTCTAGTGTTATTGTAAATCTTTTCACTCATACTTCCTTTATAAACACATTACATGCATGCTTATGCTAGCTTAGGGTCTTCTGAATCCATAGATACCAAACATAGTGTTCCATCTCCATAGTTTATAAGCCCAAATGTAAAAATAGAAAAAAAAAACATACCAAAAAGGGCTTAGTACCCAGAGGGTTAAACATGTCAGGTTCACATTTCACAAACATAAATTATATTTTGCATAATGAAAATAAAGCCTTTAATATTTTTTTTAATTATTTTTATTTAAGCATGTCCAGGTCACATTTGGACCAGGTCACACCCAAAAATACTAAATTATATTTTTCATCATGAAAATGATGCCTCTTTTTAAATAAAATAATATATAATGATTTTTTAATTTCATTATAAACATGTCTATGTCAATTAAAAAAAACAAACAAACAAAAGAAAAACATTGTAAATCTCTTTTTAGTACTGAAAATAAAGCTTATTTAAAAAAATAAATAAATAATTAAAAATAATATAAAAATATCATTACATGTTGATACTTTATTTAAAATGTCCATGTCATATGTTACAAAAATATTAAAAATAATTATAAATTATATTTAGCATAATGAAAATGAAGCGTATTTAAAAAAAATAAATCAAGTAAATAAATATATATAAAAAAAAAAAATATATATATATATATATATATAATATTTATATATTACACGTGTATTGTTGTGTTTGTCTTACCAGGATGAAGCTATCATATGTGTTCATCAGCTCATCAACGCGGTACTGCTCCAGCACCACCACCCCGGTCAGATTGGGGCTCCTCTCCCGGGCGCAGTCCTCACAGTGAACCACATACGTCTTCCTACTGCTGTTCTCACTGGTCACAAACAGCAGGTTAAACACCTCCACCTGTGCACACATGCATACAGACACATTAAGAAAATGCAATGCATCATGACAGGATATTATTTCCCCTCATTGTGTCTTGTGGTCCTCACATCACACTCGTTGCAGTAATATGCCGGCTCATCCTTCACTCTGCTCTGATAGGAGATCTTCTTCCCTATAGACACCAGCTGGTCCCTCAAAATCTGAATGTGTTTGATGGACTGGAGGAGACAATGTCTAAAAGAGAAAACAAGACAGAGGTGGAACTATAAAATCATTTCAAGTAGGTCTCACCGATATAAAAATGTCAACACCGCACTCACTTGATCATCTTGAATGTGTTTGGGTCTGTGACCTTGATTGTGCGGGCAACATTCCAGGACACGTGGATCATAGGGACGATCGATTTGACTTTCTTGATCTCGTTCCATTCAAAGCGCTCAAGAGCCAGCTGGTATTGATAGGCTGGGAAGACAAAGGGCATATAATGAAAACAAAGTCCTAATATGAAGCATGTGTCTAATATATTTACAGTAAATGCTTAACAAATGCCTTTGGCGCCACCTACTGACTCACCATTTAAAGGGCCCACGTTCCAGGCGATGTTGTTGCACCACCCCACGGCCTGGACCCAATGCACAGTGCCAGCGTTGATCCACACAAGGTCACCTGGTCTCTGAATGAAGCGGTACACAGGGATGTTTGAACGGTACAGGTCCTCCAGAACTGGCCACCATGAGCCCGTCAGATAATCCACGCCATGCCTAACACACAGAAGAGACACATTGCTTTATATTTCAATGTATTTCTCATCTAAAATGTCATACTAAGCCATAAAAAATCTGAAATAATGTGTGTGTGATGCAAAACTTACTTTTCACAGAAGTCACTGATGGCTTTCCAGTAGTGTTCATGAACAGCGAACCACTCACAGTCTCCAGGGCCAATATTGATGTTCACTGAAGAGAAGTTATTATTTTCCTGATGTCCTATAGAGAGAAATCAGAATTTCATTTTTTACAAAAGGTTGTTCTGTTTTATTTTATACTATACAATACAATACAATACAATACAATACATTACAATACAATACAATACTATACTATACTATACAATACTATACTATTGCAAGTCATATTTTGAATAATAATGAAAAATCACTGCACTCTTTATATGTAAATATTTATCTATGAAACTATTGTGTGTGTTTGGGAGAGTTTGAGAAGGTTTTTTTTATTCTCAACAAGACCAAACGTCTGAAAAACAGTCAAACTTGACAAAACAACTTCACAAGGAAAACAACCTGATAAATACATTTTGAAGGGATAAGTCACTCAAAAATTCTGTCATCATTTACTCACCTAAACCTGTATGAATTTATTTCTTCTGCTGAACACAAAAGTTATATTTTGAAGAATATAGGTAGCCAAACAATTGATGGTCCCCATTGACTTGCATAGTATGGTGGAAAAAATACAACTGAAGTAAATGGGGTCCAATCAACTGTTTGGTTACTGACATTCTTTTTGGGCGAACTATCCCTTTAATAATGTCCTATTTCTAAACAAGTTAAGGGGGTTTTAGAGAAGTCTCATGAACACATCTTCTGTGCGTACACTGACCTGGTGTGCGGCTGCCAGGGACCTTCATATAAAGCTGGACTGTGTTCATACCCAGTATAGTGTGACCAACATGACTCAGCATGTTGGTGCTGGACGACACTCGCATGAACGCAGGCAACTTCAACAGCTCCTGCAGCTGCGGCTTCCACCTGAAGACAAGTTCCCACAATCCTTTATTCACACCAAAGCAAGAAATAATGGCTCTCATAAAAAGAAAATCTGTCCAACTTTATTTAATGGACAATTGTCAACTAATGTACCAGTAATATCAAAGTGAACTTCTCTCACCGTTTTGGATCAGATAAGTCAATGTTGGTCCCAAATTTGATGATTTTTCCAACGGTCTTCTGCTCTGAGCTATTAAAAAAATATCATTTTAAGAGACAGCGGATCATAAAAATAAATAATACAAGTAATAGCAATCTATGCATTGCTAAGTGATAGTTTAACCTTTTACCTGGCTGTGGGGATAGAAGACCCAATGTTGGCTTGTAAGTTGGATTTTGTCACGTTTTTGTTTTCCGATTTGTCTTCCTCATCCTCATCTTCACTGTCTTTCTCTTCCTAAAAATAAAAAAGAGTGTTACTTTCATCTTAAATTAGTTTGTTTTGAGTGGGGGGGTGTGTGCCTGTGTCATTATAGCGGTTGTGGCTGTGGGTACCTAATACCTCCAGGCGATTGCCTGGACATTCAGCATCATCAAACTGCAATAACCTTCCTCTAAGGGAAGGAGAAGGGAAACTACACGCAAACATTAGTCATTTCATAGAATATGACTTTTCGGGGTGATGCACACCGTTTTGCCATAACCACGGTGCTTTCCCGTCTAGACTGTCTCGCTTCTGATATCGCTAAAGCGGTCTGGGTAACTGCCTACCTGTAAGCTCTCCTGGAAACTGGATGCTTGGTACTGTGCATATTTAGCAATGGTTGTATGAGATCTGCTACTTTCGCAGGGCCAGGTCTGAGCGGATCCTGAATGGTTCCAGTTCTCGTCCGCCGGCTGCTGCACCTGAGTCCTCACCTCCACTGCATGCTCGGAGTTGGCCTCAACTAGGGATTTGGTGGAGAACAGACCCAGGTCTACCAGAAAGACAAGAAAGTCATGGTCAGAAAAATTCTAAAAGATTCCAATTCAAATTTCATCATAAATTAAATGTGCATTTTAGGTCCAACAATTAGGTCCTGATAAAAAAAATACACAATATCCAATGATTGATAAGTGTGTACATCCACTACTGTTCAAAAGTTTGGGGTCAATAAGAGTATAATAATAATAATAATAATAAAAGAAAATAATGTAGTTTTTGATCAATTTAATGCGTTCTTGCTGAATGATTGTATTAGAGGCACTGTATGTAAGTTTGGCCACTATAGAGGTTGCTTATTTAAAACAAAGGCGTAGCTTGATGACACCGTTAGTGGCAGTTGCAATCTTCACCTCTACAGCCGATGGAAAGCAATCCGATGAGACCCAGGCAGAAATCTTGTTCATGGATGAGCTAATGTAATTACATTTTATTAACATTACTGTGGTATGAAGCATCGTGGCTTAAAAGGGTCATATAATGCAAGTTCATATGAATTGAATATTGCAAAATACATATTCATACAAGTTAATTTGATTATTTAGGGTCTAAATGAAAAGTTTGTAATATACTTCAATTAAAAATTCTCATTAGTATTGTGCATATGCCTTTAAATGATAATGAGCTTTGCTCACTCCGCCCCTCTGTTGGGCATTTTGACAACGCACGTGGAGTGTTGCCTTTACAACAGTTACTGTCTCTTAAAGTACTTCCTGTTTTCTTCTGACTTTGGTCTGTAAACGAGTGTGTGTGTTTGAGAGATTGTTTTCTCACTGAGACGGAGGGATCCAGCCAGTCCTCTGATGACAGTCACAGCATTTTTAGGGTCTGTGCAGAACTGCAGCAGCACGGGAGAGAAAGCGTCCCTTTTACTCTCCAGCTAAAATTACAAAAACATACACACAAAGTAAGAATAGCACACCGTGACACAATCAAACAGACAGCTTAAATAGTTGATTGATACAACAATCTTGCCTTTTTTTCCTCATGTAGAGCTCTAATACATCCATATAAACTTATGTCTGACAGAGCATATTATTGAGAAATTACATCAATAAAACTGATTGGCCTGAACTCACGTAAATGCTTGGGGTTGGAGGGTTCAGTTTCTCTCTGGGAATAGGAGTCTCACTGGACAGGATAGGCTTCACTGAAAACGCTGGGAGCAGGTATGACTCACGAAACTTATTGTTGACATTTGCCCCTCTGTCAAAGAAAAAGACAGTAGGTGTATGTGTAAATTCAGTAAAGTAGTAAGAAAGAACAGAGAAAAACTAAAGTAAGAGACATGATTTATATTACCCATCAAAGTCATAATAATAATAACAATTAGATTCGTTTTATGGTGGTAGTATGTTGTGAATTTTGCAAGGGTAGTGATGTGTGCCTGCTAAGGGCTCAGTTATACTCCAGTTTGGGCGCGTACAAAAACAGCTGCGGACAGCGTGGACACGGACTACTTGTGTTTATACTGTCTGCTGAGGTCTGCTCAGTGAACGCGTTCCACACATGTCATGTGCAGTAGATCGGCTGGGACAGTAGCAAAGACATGCTTTTTTCAAGCTTTTTTCTTTGCCTTGACCATAGACTGTAAAACATAGGCCTTGACAAACTGGTCCCTAATATATTTCTACTTCTGCCGACACATACTTTGCCTAAACTCTCACTAATTTCCCTCCAGGAATTATTGCACATCTGGCTGTTTATGATCCTTTAATGATGGGTTGTCGAGGTACAGGTAGCGACAGACTTCTTCGCACAGCCTCTCTTCGAAATCAACGTCCATTTTTTACCCCCCGCGCTTTCGCGGTTTTAATCTAGTAGTGGGCGCGCGTACTTTGACCACGCGGTCACAAAATATGGGAGGCACACGGACGTCCGCAAGGAACCTCCGGACAAACCCTCCGATGACAATTTTTACGTCACGCGGACCCTAGCGGACCCTCGCGCAACTGCGCACGCGGAAATTATAACACAGGCATAAGTGTTCTGAATGGCTTTTAGCACATTGGTAAGCTTTGCTAAAGTATTTTGAGTTTTTGCTTGGTGGTTGATTACTGGCCCAAATCAAAACAGCCTATTATGTTCTGGTTCTTAGACATGGCTAGTGTCCCTTCCACCAGTAAGTGACATTTAGCCATTTAGCCTTAGCAAGCACCAATGCTTACAACCAGAATCATTTGTGGTCTAAAACGTCAAATGTGAACTCACTTGCAGGCTCGAATGACCTCATCTGCGTTATTATTGATGTTGATGTCATTGAGTGGCATGCTCTTCTGCTCGATCTCTGAGGCGATAAAAGTCTGCCGACTTCCGCTCTCAACCTTGACCAAACGGATCGTCAGTTCTTTTAAGGGAATTTTAGACAACTCTTGCAGATTTAGGAGATTGACCCGGCTTAGAATTGGAGGCCTGTCGGAGAGAGTCACAGTAACAGAGGTTTGTGTGCTGGTTCTGGCAGATGCTGTGGAGGATGTATCAACCTTAACTGTGTCTTTTTTCACAGTCCCTTTTTTAACATCTGTCTCTTTTTCTCTCTTGACTTCTTTGAGTTCTGATTCTCCATCTTTCATGTCAATTTGTTGGTTTTCTGGGACAACCTGTTTGGTCCTGATTTCCATTAGTTGCTCATATGAACCTTTAGAGTAGGAATCCTTTATCGCTATCCCTTTCTTCACGGTTTCCTTTTTAGTCTCTCCTCCCTCACTCTTTTCACGATTTTCTCCTTTCATGCTCTTAACTTTTCTTTGAGACCTCACTTGATCTTTGTGTCTGACCCTGTCTCGTTCATTTTCTCTCTCGGTAGAAATGGGGCTGCTGTCTTTCATGGCCTTTGACACGGGCCTCGAGTTCTGAGTGAGTAGTAGCTCACAGCTGTGAACTAGTTTTGCCTGCAGGGTGGCATGAGACATCAGAGGTTCCTTCTCCTCCAGGGATGTGCAGGTTGGGTCTTTGTCTGATTCATCTACTTTGGTCTCTGTTTGTTCATACATCTTCTGCACCTTAGTTTCCTCTTTTTCTCCAGCAATTTCTTCCACTTTAGCTTCATTTTCCACTCTTTCTTCCTCCGGTTGACTCTCTTTATCCTTCTCTGTGGGCTGTATCTGTGGTGGTTTGACCTGATCTGGGATATCTGTTGTTGGAGATGTGGCAGGTGCACTATGCTGGTCTGGAGGGTGGATCTCGGGACCCAAGGACAGAGATGAGGAGTATTTCACCCCAACTAAAGAACCTGGGGGAGGCCGACCAAATGGTCCACCCCTGTAAGTGTATCTATGGCTGCCCATTGCTGAGGTTGTTGACTTGAACGTGTCCATTTGGTGCAAGTGCGGTTTGTTGGGCTCAGGGCTGCTTAATGCATTAGGACTATTTTCTTTCTGCTCTCCTTCTCTCTTTTCTTCATCCTCTTCCTCCGTGTCCATGGATTTAGAGGATTCAGAAATGCCATACAATTTGGCCAAATCCCTGTGGCAATAGTCAACTCCAGTGCTGATCTCCACTGAGTCTCTAAGTGGAGATGAATGTGTTGGACTAGGTTGTAGCACTGGCCTCCTCAGTACTCCAATCATATCTTCCTCTTTCCCTCCTTCATCATCACTCAAGTCCGACACTGGAGAGCCCTGCCAGCTCAGAACAGGTGGGCTTGTTGGTGGGTCCAACCTAAGGAGCTCCTCGCTATAGGTGCAGTGAGCCGGGAGAAGGTCTGGGGCACTGTGCAACCCTGGGACACCCTCCTTGTTTCCAATGGGTTCTTCTTTGCAAACCTGCTTATCAGGATGAGTAGGTTTGTACCCACCAGCATCTTGGGTCTCTATACTTTCATCATCGCTAGTGTCTACATGGTCAGGCTCGGAAGAGTCTGATTGGTTGTCAACCTCTAAGGCTTTAGTATTGGATTTGTTGGTTGACTGGCATGGAGGACAATGGTTATTATTGACATGAGATTTACAGGGTGGGATAAACCCTGAGGTATTTTGAGAGAACTCTTCCTCTCTGTGACTGAGATGAAGTGGCTCAGACAGTAGGTCATCCAGGAGAGGTCCAGAATCAATGGGGTACAATGTTCCTAAATTGGGAGATGCTGACTTCGAAGTGGGCATCTCACTCTTCCTGTCTTTATGCATTCCTTGTTTTCTCTCCTCTTTTGCTCTTCTTTTCATCTGTCCCAACTTCCTCCCATTTTGATGTATGTTTTTCTTATCATGCCCTTTCCTTCCTTCCCTCATCTTTTTCTTTTTCCTGTCCTCCAGTTTTTTCTCTATCCTTTCCTTTGTGTCCAACAGCTCTCCTTCTTCCTTTCTCTCCTTCCTCTTTAAACGCTCTTTGTGCCTCCTCTTGGCCTGAATGTGTTTCAATAGTTCAGAGTCCAGCTTGCTGAGGGAGCTCTTGTGAGTGGATTTGAATTCAGCCTGGTGTTTCGAGTGTCTGCTCTTCTTCATATCTGACTTCTGTGCCCTCAGACCTCTGTCTGAGGTTTGAGTGGTGGCCTCAGAAGGAGAATCTGAGTCTCTCTGATCATGTTTCCTTAACCCAGTCTCTGGGTTCCTCCATTCTGTGCAATCTCTGACTCTACCCTCAGCACTGCAGTGCGGCTGAATGGGACTCCGTTGGCGGCTTATGTGCTTGGATGCACTTGGACGTTTTTTGTCCACACCCTCAGACTTTTGGGATTCCAGGCTAGAGGTGGTACGCCCCATCTCCTGTAGAGAAACAAATGCCCAAACATGTCACAAGTCTAAACTTACATGAAAGAGCACCTTAATATACATGATTTGCTTTTTGAAATTTAATTTTCTCTGCTTTTACTGTTAATTTATATGGACTTGGTTGACTCACACTGCTAGACTTTTGACTATTGATAGAACATCTTTCAGGCGAAGAACGCCCACTTAGACAGTCTCAGCCTCAGACAACACACCCACAGATTGAGACTTTGAAAACGGGCCAAAACATTGAAAGGAATAGTTGTCACAGGAATGGAAATTCTTCCTTAGTTTACTTACACTGTTGCCGTGTTTTCCCGAGCGGCTCTGTGTTTTCCAGCCAGGCTGTGCTGTGTTGAATCTCGGCTGAGGTACTGAGGTGACTGGGCTGCTGGAGGGGCCAGTGTGCCTCTGTGGTGGAGGGAGCTGGTGCTGCTGATTGTAAGGCACACTGGTGAGGTTTGCTGGTGATGGGCAATCCCAGCCCCCTTTGGACCCACGGGGATAAGGGCCTGGATGATCTTGGACCAGATGATAGGATGGCCCCTGTTTGGTGGGTTTCTTGTTGTGGGGCCCCTGGTTTAGGGCAATGTTGGGTTGTGATGAAAAGGAATATGGTCTGTAGATGTGATCTCTCATGACAGAATGACTGGACTCCTTTTAAATAAAAGAAAGAATGACGATCAGGAGCAGAACAAAGTATATAATTGTAAATTATACATTTAAAGTAATGAATCTGTGATTAGGGCTGTTAATGGGTTAAATTGACAGTCTTAATTCACATGTGTGGATATAGTGCTATAAACCTTCCTAAAACAGCTGCTGTCTTCCAGGTATATAGAGAAAATCTACTACACAAAAAGCACAGCCGAGACCACTAGTCTACCTGAGAACGAGAGGGGGAAGACCTCTTCTCAGACAGGCTCCAGGACATTGAGCTTTTGTATGATGGGCTCCAGGACCGAGGTGGATGAGATGGAGGAGGGCGGTTGATGAAATATTTATCTCTCGGGTGGAAATTCTGCAGAATTTATCAGGGATGAAGCATTACATCTTAAGGATGTTCTCATTCCGACTAGCAGATGATGGTTAAAGACTACTGCCCCTTTACAGTGTTTTAACCAAAAGGTTTTTTTTATACCAAAAACTAACATAAACCTTAAGAAATTCAAAATTGTAAATGTAAAAAATAGTTGTCTATGAACATTAAAAAGAACATGACTGACCTGGTGCGAGCTGATGCTTCTACTCCTCTTGCTGGGACCGTCCTCTCGTGAAGGGGATGAGTCACGGAGAGTTGGTGACATATTGTGAGGAGGTGCTTGACGTTTGAGAGAGGGCCCATGGAAAGTCCTAGACTGAGTCCACTTCTCTCCCTGGGTCTGTGGGGGGCGCCCAGTGGAACGCTGCTGCTGGTGCGGACCTCCATACTAAGACAGGAAATATCATCAAGTCAGACAGGAAATTAAGTTATTTTGTGTTTTGCTCATCTCTGACAGCACTGAAACTTTATATATTTCAATGAAAGCCCCTCACCCTGTGTGGCTGGCTGCCGTGATTGTTGCTGCTAGAGAAGTGTCCTCCACACCCTGAGTTGTAATTTAGGGTGGAACGTTCTGGGTTGTGGTGCTGGTTCTGTGTTGGTCCACAGCCCCTCGGAACCCTCTGCTCCTTTCCGATGCCTCTGTCTCTGGGTCTGTCCCTGCTAAAACCTGGAGGTCTGTCCATGAATGAAGAGGAATATGAACCATGAGGGTCACAAAGCAGTGTCTCAAAACAAACATTTGCATATTATCTGTACTATTTAGAATATAAGATTAGTGCGTCAAATCACGGTATTTTGAAAATCCAAAATATTTATTTTACAAATATTCAATTAAAACGTATATGTAATAATAATTTAGTTAAAATTTTATTATAAAATAAAATTATATATATATATATATATATATATATATATATATATGAACATATATATAAAATTTTATGTTTATATGAACCAGTATGTTCAGCATTTATAATAGTCAGCACGGTCAATTCTCTTCTGAAACTGCAGTGCTTGGCACTTGAACAGTGGTTTGATGTATTTTTGTATTATTATTTTTAAATATATATATATGCACAGATGATATATATATAATATAATAATACAAAAATACATCAAACAACTATATATATACTGTATATATACACATGATATACTATATATATATATATATATATATACACTATACAAAAATACATCTGTACAAGTGCCAAGTGCAGTTTCAGAAGAGCATTGACCATGTTGACTATTATCAGTGCTGAACATACTGGCTTACAACTCAGTATTATTATAGCAGAAAAAAGGATTGACCTGTTGTTATAAGGTTTGTTTGGGTAGTTTCTTCCTGCTGTGTAGTTTTGGGACGGGGATTGATAGATCCCTCCGCTGCACCTGAAAATAGAAGAACTCAGGATTTAAAAACTGTAATCCTCCTCTCTGAGTAAAAAAATAAAATGTAGGATATACATAAAACAGATGTTTTGCTTTTAAATGTATGTGGTGGATAGAAGACCTGGATGGAGGAGCCCAGTGCCGGTTGCTGCCTGGGGCCCATGGTGCTCGATTCGGCCCAGAAGAGGGGAAGGAGTCCCATGAGTTACGTCCAGAATACTGGTCTGCTATGTGATACATTCAGCCTGAGGCAAGACAAACACACACACACACATACAAAAGCAATTACTATAGTTGTTCACTTGTGCTGTAACTTGTTGCGGAGAAAAGAAAGCGTCCTGTGAATACTCACCACACTGAAGAGTCTGAGAAAGCCTCCACTGCAGATCTCAACAGAGATCACTACACCTTCCCTCGTGTTCAATTCAAGCTTTTCTGCATGAAAAAGACAATAAAATAACAAGGATGAATAAAACTGAAAGCATCCTTTCATAATTTAACATGATAAGCGTAATGACTTGTTTTTTGTAATCTTCTACATTTTTTAGGAAAATTAGTGGTGATGTTCCATGCAAAACTCGCAACCTTCAAGTCTCTATTGATATTATCATCCCTATGAATCGAGTCGTCATTTAATGTAGGCCTAAATCTATTTGATTTTTCGCCTGTTTTATTGTCCAACAGGTATTGCTCTCGTCTAGTCACTTCATTTATACAATACAGATCAATTACAATACAGAACTTCATTAAATATGAGACAAATTCTAATTCGCTTAAAGACAAAAAGTATAATTATTCAGATCAAGTAAGTTTAGTGTTGATTCAGTTCAGTTCAATAACGGTATAAAGTTTAATTATGAGTTCAGTTCAGCTATAAGAACCTCAAAAGAAGGCAATGGTGTCATTATTCAGCTCGAGTCAGTCCCATGCAGATTTCAATGGCAGTGTCAATGTTGCAAAATTCATCAATTGTGAAAACTCAACTCAGCTATAAAGCAGCTCTACAGAAGACAACAGTGCCATTATTCAGCTCAATTAAGTTCAAGTTTTGTTCACATCCGTTGGTGTCAGTACAGTCAAATTTAACATAATTAACAAATATGTCAAGTGTCTTTTAACCCCAACTCAGCAAGCCAAAGGCGAAAGTGGCAAATAACCCAAACTCCATCAGGTTACAAATGGAAAAGAAAATGAAAAAGGAGAAACCAGTTACACAAAGCCGGGTATTTAGCAAAACGAATATTTTCCCCCTCTCCGTTTTCAAAAATAACATCGTTCACACACCCGCATAAATACGCCGTCGAGCGCCATCATAACTATGCCAAACCCATTGGTGGCAGTGTAGGGGTTAAGGATAAAGCCATGCAAGCCAATCAGAATCCTCAGAATCGACAAGAGAGAACCTAAAACGCAGTTTCTCCCAGTTCATACGACACAACATTTTCAGAAATCTCCACTTTGGCCGGAGTTTTTAGAAATAATCGTTTTCTGTGATAAATACGGGGTTTTCGTGTAAACGAGAGGCTAATCCGCGGGGAAATATCTGCGTTTTCCCTTTGTGTAAACGGGGCCTCAGTTGAAGGGGGACCAACTCTTCTCTGGCCTAAATGAAAGAACAACTTGTAGCACAAACAATGTGGGACTGGGACAAGTTACTGGTTTAATTATAATGATTAGGGTTTAGGGTTATGAACAGACCCTCAGTGTGAGCAATAGTAATAGTGATGCTTGCCTTAGTACAGTCCACAGGAAGCTAGAAACATAAAGACAGACGGAAAGCGGGGGTGGGGGAGTAGAAAGGAAATCTTCAGGATGTGCTCTTGTAAATGATGGTCAATATCAGTTTCCTGAGTGAAAAAACAACATGGCTCTCTGGTAGCACACAAGTATGCTAACTCAATACTATGCTAGTGGCTACCATGCATAATGTGTTGCATGCACAACACAATGCAACACAATGTCCGTCCTTAACTGAAAAAATATAATTCTGATCTTCACAACACCCACACCTAACATATCTCTGAAGATTTGTTACCACCTGACTAACGCTTCCTCTAGACTTGACCAAGGCAACAGATCAAACACGCAAAGCTGGAACAAGTTCAACCTCAAGCATCTGCAGCAATCCACAGGCTTCTTTTCGTTTTATCTCTGCCCCCCATGTTCCACTCCACCCACACCAACTGTCCTATACCATAGGAAAGAACATAAGAGGTTAAAGGAGGGGATTTGTGTTCTTTCTGGTATGTGAATAGGTCAACTCTCATACTGTATAACTACAGCTGAGCATTCTGGTTCAGATCAGGACAGAGCAACCGCGGGCTATTTGTGTTGGCTAAAGGACGTTGCACTTATAATAGCACATTTAATACACCTAATAAAAACACGCTTGCACTTTGACACATTTGATTGATATATAATGCATGGTAAACATTTGCATGCTTCTTTCCAACACATACACAACATTGCCGTAGCACATAAAACACAAACAACATCTTTTATATTGAGAGCTCTTGTTTTCCATAAACAGCAAACCAATTAAATTGGTAACACATGGAGACATTTTTGCCAAGAAATGTCACATGTGTCTCCTCTGAAATTTCAGAAGAGATCTAAACAATAGGCATTTCAATCCAAATCATTTTATGCCAATTTTGTAATATTGCATAAAACACTACGAGGTTGTGAATATTATTTCCAAATTGTGCATAAAAACACGCTCAATTGACGAAAGAAAATGTGCGCATAAACTACGATGGAAACACGTTTACTGAATAAATTCTTAGATGTGCATCATAAAAGTCATGTGACTGCATCAACGTCACGTGACAAATGCTTTATTCACAAATTGTCTTTGTGATACTAGATATTTTTGACATAAAAATGTATTTTAAATCCATAATATTGATATTGTGAATGATTCAACCATTGTTTAATTAAATGTCATAACTCAAAATTCCAGTGAAACGACAGACAATTGACATTGCATTCAGATCTGGCTCCGTACAATCAGTAACAATGCTAAGATAAAACCTGCAACGCTGGAACAAGTACTATCTTGCATCTGCAGCAATATGAAATGCTAATGCTAATCTAGGTTGCCATAGAAACCCAGCGAACTGTTCTGATGAATTCAACCAAGTCCCTTCCCCGTATTTTTTTTTCACTTGGATGTACTTCAATATGGAAGAAAAGATCTGTCGTTACCACCATTTCATCGCAACTTTAAATAAAATTCGGAAACCGTAAAAATGTTTTAATAGAAACCCAAACACTTCTCATCAATCTCCTTGGATCAAATTATCTCAGCTATTCAATCCTCATGCATTCTATAGCTATTATAGCCAACTATTTTCTCATTTATTTCAATTTTTATTTGTCATAAGGCTATTTAGAAGAAACATCAAAGGTGATGCTTCAACGAAGAGCTATGAAAGAGCACCTCTGAGCAATACAAATTTCCTTTGTTCTGCCAACGCTCATGTAAGCGTCCTATTCCATTGTAATCAAATTTCAAAGCAGATCAACAATGCAATGTCAAACAGGTAGAGTTGTATCAGATTACACAAGCCTATCAAGGTATATATATCACACCTGTTCAGTTCACCTCTCACAGTACCTCCACCAGCAAGGAAAACACAATGATGCAAGACTGACGTGCACGAGTGGGTTGTGTATGCTAACGTTTTTATGAAACGCTTCAGTAGGTAGCCATAGAAACTCAGCAAACTGTTCCGTTGGAAAGGAAGTGGTTCTGACTTCCTGTAAAAACGTGACCCTGTTGTGCAGTTGTGGTTGTGACCTCATACACACACACACTGCTAAAAAATATCTCACTTTTACAAACGAAAATGTGTCTCCCTTCATGTTTTTAAGTGGATTGAGATTATCAGGCCTCATTGTATCACACAGATGGATGAGTACAGCTTCTTTGCATTACATTCAAATGAGGGGCGATTCAGGCAGACAGTTGAGAATCATCAGAAGAGCTTCTCCTCACGAATCTTCCTCTTACTATAAGCTTTCATGAGCCTCTCCAGCTTCACACACATGCACTTAGATTAAGGAGAGATTACATTAGAAAATAATGGACCTAAGGCAGCTGTTTCCAGCACTGTTTCTTTTCCTTCCATATCTTGCTCTCATTAATTTAATCGAGTCCGTATCGGTAGCCGCAGTAATTCTGCTTTTACGCAGTTCTACAGGGATCACATGATATTTTTTTTCTCTCTGAGGCATACTTATGAGGTTAAATTCTGCACGAAAACTCTCATAACTGTGTATGTTTGGTGAATTGTCTCTTCAGTGGGCCATTTTTTGCTACTGTGCCTTTAAGAATACTATGTAAACTCTCTTTTATACATATGAAATGATTAACAGCAGGTATAATGTAGTTAGCACTACTTCTTAATAAGAGACTACATTACAATGTGACTGAAACTGAAATGAACCACATAAACCATAAAATCGGAAATGTTTATGGATCTTGTTAAACATAAATGTTGGGAAGGATATGCAGAGTCAAGGTCTGGCAAGGTCAGACTTTCCCACATTTTACTCTTTAACAAAATGGATTTCTGATTCTGTTGTTTCGGAATAATCTTAAATTGAATGACATTTGACATCTGAAATTATATGAGCCATAGTGGATGCCTAATTTTAATGAATTTCTTTCTTTTTTAAAGTTCAAGAAAAATGTAATGATATGACCCCTTAAGTATGACAGTCTAGAATCCACATTGAAATCTATTATAGCCTCAACACTATAACTCAAATTCCTTACAAAACTAAAGCCAGGAATCTGGTTGAAAACAAATAATCCACGGTGACTGTCCATTTGAAACAGATATCTCATGAGAGCAGAGGGGAACAACAGCAGGGATCAAACAAACAGAGGAAGAGTGGGGAGGGAAAAGATAGGGGCGCCACTGCTGTCAGGAGCTTTGAGATTGTGTTACTGACTGATATACGAGAGAAATTCGGACTTGATATTCAGCGGGGAAAAAACACGCACACAGCAGACGTAAACAAAAGCAGCTAGGCCGAGCTGTGAGGGTTTTCCCGTTTAAACAACTGAATCGGATATGATGAGTGTCTCTTTTTTGAAAGCAAAGCGCAGATGGTGTTACAGACAAAAAATAGACAACTGTCTAAAATGGCACAGATCATGCAGGAATATTTGAGGTTTTGTTGATCAGTTTCAGTTTCAGACGCAAACGACATCCAGTTTCGAAATCACAAACAGTACGAAGCTTTTTATTTTCGTGTTTCAAGCGGGACTTTGTTGTGGAGACAACTGTCTCGTAAAACAGACAATGATCGCTGATGTGGGACCTTAGTCGTAACCGCACAAACGTGATTCTTTATTCGCTGTCGAATGATCAGCCACATTTTCTCTCCGAGTAATTCTCATGGGATTTCTGTCTCTGTGTCTA